AGAGATGTTTTCAGTGGGTGGTCAGCAATCTGCCCTCTTTTCCACTTTTGTACGTCAAAAAGTTCTATTTTCTGTGTTCCTCGTGTTTAAAGTAACCCTGTCAAACAGTGGCAACAGGATCATGTTAAACCATCATCATTCACTAACAGTTCTCCCACAAAATATCTTTAAATTAATGAAAACTGAAATTCCTGCCTGTGTCGGTCTTTTGCATATGTGCCACTGGAAAAATAAAATAAAATAAAATTCTTTAAAAATAAAATAAAATTATTTAAAAATTCATAAAAAAAGATGCCAGATTTTCTATTCCCTTCTTTTGATATCAAACTGTACCTGTGGAGGGGAGAAGTTTCTTCCCTGAGAGGAAAAGTATGCACAGGGATCTGCTTCTTCTTGGCTTTTTCCCTTTCCCTGCTCCAGGGAATGTTAAGAAACTGCTTTTAGTACCCTGAGCCTTGGTGTGAGTCAGCAAAATTTGGGAAGCTGTAGATGTTTCAGAGGTTTAAAATCTCAGAAAAAGCAATTAAAGCCAAGAAGAGACACACAGTGCCTGACTGGAGACACACACTGAGGAGCAGCACAAAATGCTGAATCCCTCTCAGCATTAATTCCTCGTCTGGGTGAACCTGCAGGGCAAATATCTTTTATTTTGCTTGTTTTCTGGCTTGTATCAGCCTCAAGAGATGGATGGTTTAGTAAGTGTTGCTGCCTTGCTGCAGGCCCTCCACTCTGTGCTGTGAACTGTGAGAGAAAACTTCCTACAGAAATAGTTGGTGGAGACAGTTCAGCAACACAGATATTTCAAAAGTAGCATCATTTGAGGGCGTAACGTTCTGATTGCACCCCAGCTTGTGCTGGCACATTGTTCCCTCCAAAGTCTGTGCTGGTGGGAGCTGGCTGTAGTCAGTCATCCTGGAGCAATTCACTCCCTGAAATCCAGCCACTCTTTTGGACATGTTATTATCACCTCTGGAGAGGGCACCTGGTAACGTCACCTCACAAACCCCTGCCAGCATTGTCACCCCATCCTGCCAATACCAAAATGCTTTGCTGCTGAGCTCTGGCTGCTTGGACTTACTGGCCAGGTGGACATTCAGTTTTGAGCTCCCTGTGAGGTGAGGAAAGGGGCAAACTCCTCACCTGCCCGCAGGAAGTTCTGGAGCTGCTGTCCATTACCAGCCCTGCTCCGTGCTGGGGTGGCCTCACCTCGAGCCTGGGGGTGGTTTTGGGCACCACAATATAGGACCTAAAGCTCTTAGAGAGTGTCCAGAGGATGGGCACAAAGATGGTGAAGGGTTTAGAGGGGCTGCAGGAGGAGCAGCTGAGGGCACTGGGCTGGTGCAGCTGGAGCAGAGGAGGGCAGAGCTCAGCGGGGGCTGCAGCTCCTCCCGAGGGGCAGCTCCCACCTCTGCTGGCTGGGACAGGGACAGCACCCAGGGAAGGGCTGGAGCTGTGCCAGGGCAGGCTCAGCTTGGAGCTCAGCACAAGGTTCTTCCCCCAGAGGGTGGTTGGCACTGCCCAGGCTCCCCAGGGCAGTGGGCACGGCCCCAAGGCTGCCAGAGCTCCAGGAGCGTTTGGGCAACGCTCTGAGGGACAGGGGGGAGTGTTGGGGTGTCCTGGGCAGGGCCAGGGGTGGCACTGGGTGATCCTGGTGGGTTCCTTCCAAATCAGAATATTCAGGATTTCAATGAGGCAGAATTTGACCTGGCACCACAACCACCACCCAATAGTTCTGCTGCTCTAAGGAGGAGAGATCTGCAACACGCACCAAGTCTCTACAGTCACTCTGAAACACAACCTTAAAGGCTTCCAAGTCTCAAAACCTACTATTGCCTCATCATACCAAGAGAGGGAGGCCCAGTAACCCTGATGCCAACCTTTGCAACAAGAACAGGTGGCACTGGGAGTGCAAAACTGAGGTGAGAGTCTTCACAGGTACAGAACTAAGTCAAAGCACTCTGGTGCAAACTTGGCCTGAAGACTCACGTGAGGTGATTCACTGAGTTGTATTCTACTTTTAACACATATGTGAGGGAGATTATCCTTTTTTCCCCACCCTAACCACCCTCAGAGAGTCCAGCTGTTGGCTTCTCTCACAGCAGAGTACATATTGCTTTACATCCTCACTGCTGGCCACTCGAGCAAAAAGGGCAGCTCAAAGACTTCGTGAGGCAGAGCTGAAATTCTCCAAAGCCCCCACAGATCATGGGGCTTAGGGCTCTCCTTGAGTCATGGCTTGTAGGCTTAGAGAAAGGAGCACGAGGTCTTAGCTGTGACCTGGGCAGTTCAGATCGTTAAAATTCAGCCTCCAAGCCCTGTGCTGAGCTTCTTTTTGCCTGAATTCTGCCTTCTCCAACGTGCAGCCTTGAGCTGAAGGCATCCAAACTGGAAGAAATCCCTGCTTCCCCTCAGTGTTTTCTTCTTGTGGTTAATCAGCCCCCCAGTCAGAAATGAATGCATTATTCCAATTCGAGTTTTTGTGGTTTCACTGCACAGATGTTGCTGCTTGATGTGTTTTTCTTCTAAACCAGCCCTTTAGTTCCCAGTATTTTCTTTCCTTGGAAATGTGTACACACAGTAATCAAGCCACCTTCAAATCTTCTTTCTGGTAAACTGAACTGATCATAGAATGATAGAATGGTTTGGGTTGGAAGAGATCTCAAAGATCATCCAATTCCAACTCCCTACCATGGGCTGGGACATCTTCCACCAGCCCAGGGTGCTCCAGCCTGGCCTTGGACACTTCCAGGGATCCAGGGGCAGCCACAGCTTCTCTGGGAAACCTATTCCAGGGCCTGCCCACTCTCACAGTTCACCAACATCCATATTCCCAAACTTTATTACCTTTAACCTTGCTATGAGGTCCCAGCTTCTGGAAGTCTGTGATTATTCAAGTATTTCCACTCTCTTTTAGAAAAACAAAATTGTTTATCTGCTGTATTTGTTCTACTTGAAACATGAGGAAGTCCAGGGCAAACTTAAAATGTAATGATTTAAGAAGGTTTGTGCCTTTTAAACTAATATGTAATTTTTTCTTACACCAGAGTGAGTTATCTGACGAAAAACAATGTGACAGTGAGGATTATCTTAAGAAATCCCCGGTATCTCTGATTTTATGCACTCACAAATAGGGGTAAAATCCAAATTTACAAAGACTATAAAACTAGAGGTCAAAAATAATCTGTACTCGGGGTTATTTAACACCAGTAACAGAACACCACAAAGTGTAGATACGTCTGTTGACATTTGTGATTTTATTCCTCTCAGAGCTGATCTTATCCAGCTACAGCTGCTGAAATAGCACCTGAACTAAAAATGTGTCTCAATATCTGGGCACTTTACATGAGCCAAAGCTGTAAATTTCTCATATAAAAATCCGTGCCCACAGTGGAATATTGATTTTACACCTAAGTAATGCCCCAGATTGGAGAAATCTGGAACATAATAAAGTTACAAAAGGAATGTTTTTATCTGACCCGATGATTCAGACGTGTTTTAGAAGATTAAAAGATGTAAAGTGAAACCAAAATGACAAAAAACGCTCTTTACAAAGTCTGTTTTCCTCTTTTTTTTTTTTTTTCTTATAAAATAAAACCACTTCCACTCAACTGCCCTCTGTCCTAAGTTATTTGTGGAACTCCGTGTTCTACCTAAATATTGAAAATATCTACTCAGATACAGACAGAAGTTCATTCCTCTCATTTTTTTAATAGGTTTCAGGGCTTCAGTGGATTAAAATAGGAAAACCTGCTTTGATTTTTGTAGCCCAGGTAGTTTAAAACTATATCTTTAAGATATAATTGAGATTTAAGTTTATATCTCAAGATATATATGTATAAAACGCTGCAGAAAAAGGAATTACTGGCACAGGGGAGGCAAAAGAAAATAAATATTTGTTCACTCTGACAATTTTATAAAGCTTTAACTGTAGATTCTGGTTATTTTATTACACCCACTCCATGTATTTTTTGAGGGGGAAGAAATTTCCATAAAATATTCCATGTTTCCCTAAGATAATCCCTTTACAAACCAGGACACAGCTGACCTCCTCTGCTCAGCTTCTCCAAGTCTAGGAATCCAAATCAGATCCTGATGTTGGGAGTTTTTATCAATTTCCTCTGCCACACAAAATTTTATACCAAACACCCCTCAGTGGATCCCAATTCCAAGGGAATTTTCCTTAAACTTTCCACTGATGAGAAACCAGAGCCTGATTTTGATATCTAACAGCAAATCTACATGGGGGGAGGAAAAGAAAGCTGCGGAGAATGAGGGATATATTTGGGAAGAACGGGAAGAGCTGTGGGATTAGTTGATTTTGGCATGGAAATTAATTCCAATCAGTCGCTCATGACTTTAAATTTGGAAAAATGTCCAATAATAAATTGAAAAATGTGTATTTTTAAGAAAAAAAAAGAGGTTATTGGCATTGACAAGGCAGTAGGTATAAAAATACTCTGGATACCAGCAAAACTGCATGGAAAGTCATAGATTTCACGGGATCAGCAAGGTTGGAAGAGACCTTCAAGCTCATCCAGTTCCACCATCAAATTTAACAGTTCCAATTTATCAGTTGTTTCAAAAATATTAAAAATACCCTCCCGTTTACCAACTGCCTGATGTTTTAGTGGTTTTTTTCCCCCCGCTGAGACCACGTAGCTTCAACTGTGCCCACACAGACCATGACACCATTTCTGCAGCCTCAGCAGTGATGACAAAATAAATGAAATTCCCACTGGGCAAAATCTAAAAAAGCTGTTTAAAGCTTCATGGCATGAGAGGCATCATTTAACCTGGGGTAGCTCATTCCTCTTAGCACAGCAACCCAAAATCCTGGGTCGTGGTTTCAGGTTCGTGTTCCTCCTCCATTTGTGTGCATCTTCAAACAGGATAAATACAAATTTATGGAATCATGGAATGCTTTGGGTTGGAATTCATCACTCTTTTTTGGTTTTTTTTTAACTTTTTAACTTTTTCCCGTGTAGTTTGGTGACAGGTACCTTGCAAGAGGTGAGGATGGAGAGGCTGGTGAGCAGTAAGCACAGCTGTCATCTCGTCGTGGTCAGAGGGGTGGATGTACTCGTAAATGCTGTTTCCAGTCAGCTCCACCTGTGAAGGGACACACAACACACGCAGCTGGTTCATTTTGTTTTGCCCTCAAGCAGATGGGTGACCACACACACCGTTTTTTAGAGCAGACCGTGGTGTATCAAACCCATCTTCCTTCCAAATTACACCTGTTCCGCTGAATTAATTAACCTTCTTCAGCAGTAGTTAATATTATTGTGGGAATTTCTGGTGATGCATCAGAGACAGAAGAGCTGCTGTTAGAGAGAGCTGGGAATGGAGTGACAAACCAGAGCAGCTGTAGAAATGTTTGATGGCCCCAAAACGGGGTAAAATCTCCGTGGACGGCCTTAACGTCTCCCAAGGAGGCAGACACTTCAAACACAACGTTTCTCCAGGTTCCCAGAAACTCTCACCTGCCCTCAGCTGGCAGCTGAGCTTTCTGAGCCCAAAACCACTCCACTCACACAATCCCTTTGTGCCTTTTCAGGGAGCGCCCACCACGCTCCATCCACGGCCACGGAGCGGCGGCCAGGGAATTCCAAAGGCAGAATTCCACGGGGTTTTTGCACTGCTCTGAGTAAACATGCAGGGCTAAAGACTGGATCTGTTGGAAATATCCATGTGTTTCCTCTTCTCCCTTGAGCTTTGCTGGCTCAGGGGTGGATTCCTGCCTTTCCCACCCTCGTGTCCCTGAGAACTGCTGCACACACACAACCGAGCGAGCGGCGTCCCCTCTGCCGGCTCTGTTTGCCACGTCTGAAACCCCCCCCAAAAGTCTCCAGATAGCTGCAGGGATTGATTTAAGGAGCCAAGCAATACCCTGAGCCTGTGTTTTAAATTAGTGTCAGGCTGCCCAATTGTTCTGAGTGGCCTGATGGGCCGTGGGCCCCCAAGATCAGAGCTGGCCGAGAGGTGAAGTAATTTAACCCATCATTCTGAGCCGGTCCTGCTGCTTTGCTAAGATGTGTGAGTTGCCTTTTCTTCGGGATAAATGAAGTTGTCTGCCCCCACAAAGCAATCTTCTTCTGAAAATGTTTCTCATCCTCCCATTTTCTGCATTATTCATGGAATGTCCCTTCCCAGGACTGTGCAAACTAACTTTTTTTTTTTCCTCTTTATTCCCCCACCGCTCTTTTTCCAACAGCCTCTCCCTGCAAAAACAAAAACATCAACACTGATTTGATGTTTTCACCAGACTAAAACTTCACTGAGTAAGGGGGGGGAAAAAAGTGGAAAAGAAAGAGATGGGAAAGAGAAAAGAAAGAAAGAAAGAAAGAAAGAAAGAAAGAAAGAAAGAAAGAAAGAAAGAAAGAAAGAAAGAAAGAAAGAAAGAAAGAAAGAAAGAAAGAAAGAAAGAAAGAAAGAAAGAAAGAAAGAAAGAAAGAAAGAAAGAAAGAAAGAAAGAAAGAAAGAAAGAAAAAGAAAGAGAAAGAAAGAAAGAAAGAAAGAAAGAGAAAATAAAGAGAGAAAGAGAAAGAAGGAGAGAGAGAGAAAGAGAGAAAAGAACAAAAGAGAAAGAGAGAAAGAAAGGAAGAAATGAGGGAGAGGGGAAGGGGAAAAGGAAAAGAAGAAAAGGATATTATCTATGTTATTTCATTTATATAATTTTCTCTAGAAGTTCTCCTTTTAAAGCAGTGGCTGCTCCTTTCCAGGACAGAAACAGGTGGGGACTTGTTACAACCCACATTCAAGTTTCAGTGGCAAGGGAGGAAGGAGAGCACACATCTCGCTGTGAATCGTGCTTGGCAATCCTTCTGTTTCTTTGTAATTACAAGGGGGAAGACATACTGTAAATGTCCATTTTTTAACCTACAGACACGTTAAAAAGTCTAATTATTCTTATGGTGATGGACACTTCACTGGCCAAAACATTAAAAAAAAAAATACTATTAAAAGATGCACAGCTGAGGTCAGTGTTTAAACCAAAAGGAGCATCACTTATGACCCTGCTCTTATTATTTTATTTTTTATTTTGGCTAATAGCGATTTTTTTTCTCCTGAATGTTTTGCCCTTGAAACGAAAACACTTCTATCAGAGAATTTACCTTCCAAAAAACAAAAATCCACGGGTGGTTCTGTCTAAACAATCTCTCCCTTCAATATAAAGACTTTCTTACCAAAAAAAAAAAAACCACACCAATCAACCTGACAGGACACATCAACTGCAGTGAACCAAAAAGATCTTGTTGCATCTCTGCTGTTACTGAGCATAATCATGACCAAATCAGCTCTTAAAAGCTACAACCCGTGGGCATCTCTTGCTTTTCCCAAAACCATCACCTATTTTAAAAGGAATCCTCGTGGATACACACGGGATCCAAAGGTCACGGTTTTATCCAAAAATGTCGTTTATATCCTGCTATAATTTGATATTTAAAATTCAAACCTGCAATGTTTTGTCCGAGTAATGACCAGTTTTCCTCGTTACACACACGGGAATATTTTTGCGTGTTTGCAGCCCCAGCAAAACCAGCGGGAGGGGAAGGTTCAGGGCTGAAAACCAAAATTTGCTGTAAAAATGGGAGTGGAAACATAAAGCCACCAGCGAGGAGATGAGGGGAGGGGGCTGCAGTGAGAGTCAAATAACCCAAATATGGATCCATCATTTGGCAGCTCACCACAATCTCCTGCTGTGCAGAGCCCACTCGGGCAGTTTTAAAGCCTGCAATGAAACACTGAAAACTTTTTAAAAAAATAATTAAAAAAAAAAAAAAAATTCAAAATACATGGTTCAATTCATAAACCTTCTAAAATCCCCTGCCTTGGGCTTATTAAACCTTGATGCAGCTTTTTAATATCTGTAAATACCTGCTTACCACCACATATCACCGTTCCCTACTAAGAGGGTTTTTATGCTGTTTTTTTGTTTTCCTCCCCAGGAATGATCCATAACAAACCCAGAGCACTAAGTGGAGGGATTCTAGAGCAAATAATTGCATGTTTTGCCTTCCCTATACTGATTTGATGGGGGTAAGACAAACCCCTGGAGAAGTTCAGATGTTTGTGGTTGAATAATTTCAAGATTTATCAAAAGGCAAAGATAAGCTCGGCTCCCTCGTGGGCCCGGAAAATGGGTGGAATAAACTCCAGACCTTCGAAATAAAATAAAAATATGCCTTTCACCGTTGTTTTCTGAGAGGATTTTCCCTCTCCATTTTGTGTCTTTGGGCTCTGAGGGGAAAAAAATATTTGGGGAATTCGAAACCTAATTTGGTATCCATGGAAAAAAAGAGGCAAGGAATTGGCTGCCTCGACTAGAAGAAGTCAGTTCATCACTGGTCTGAGGCCAACTGGAATTAGATGGAGGAGGGAAGGGGTCCTAATCATCACTATTTACAATATTTACCGTTACACCGGAGGGCAAATCAAAACCCAAAGCCACAAATCAAGCGGCAGGACCCCAAAAATGAGGATGTGGATTTTCGGAAACCCTCCTCCTGATCGTCTGCAGGCAGAGCTGAGCGAGGTCCTGCCCCAAAAACCATCCTCACAGGGTTGTTTTTAAATGTACAACCAGGTTCACCACACCAGCCAGCGAAGCTCTGATTTTTCAGAAACTCTGATTTCTCTCTGTTGGAGTTAAATTCGAGATCAACCAGAAGATAAAGGTGGCTGTAATGGGTCTCCAAAAATATCCTGCAAAAATATTTTGAAATGACCTTTTTTTTTTTTTTAAATTTACTTTAAATATATATACATATTGTTTTTAAACAAATTGCACTTTAACTGGAAATTAGATGTGTGGACTAGTTAATTGTCAAATCATTTAATAAAAAGGCCTTTTTTCCATGCCCACTCTAAAAGATTTTCTACGATCACCGTCACTCTGCTCTCAGCTTGTATTGGCTGGAGCTCTGTAAGAGCACTTGTTGAAAACACAGGGTGGGATTATAACTTGCAGAATTTACTTCCCCTGACCAATCCCATTCTTGTTGATGTCAGTGGCAGAATTCCCAGCCATTTCCAGAGAAGCAGGAACAAGAACTCATTTAGAGCCCTGGGAAACCTGCAGGACTATCCCAGTGTTTATGTATTAATAACCTGGGGAGTAGGTTGTCGATGTTAATATTAATGTTAATGCTACTTAGAGCAAAATTATCCCCTCAAAAATAGAATATTGAGACACAGCAAGAGCAGATTGGATGATAAATCGGTATGAGGAAAGAGGAGAGGGGGGAAATCCCTGCCTTGTTTTTTATTTATAAATAAAACCCCATGCACCGTGAAATTGTGTGTTCTGAGAGTCTGAAAATTTCACACCCCTCGATCCTTTCGAGGGTGCAGCTCATTTATTTGTAAATACCAAACTTTCAAGGACACAGCTCAGTTGTTTATAGGTATCTCCTAAAGGGAAAAGTTGGGGATTTTGCTTATTAAACTCGCTTCCAAAGCCAACATCACCAAATCCCTCCCGTTTTGCTCAGCCCTTCTTGCACTGAGGGCTTACAGATATTTCCCTGCACGTGGAATTCACTCAGTGCAGATGGCCAGGAGGGATAAATGGGACTAAAGCTCTCAGTCCCCTCTCCTTGCGTGTGGCAAAGTCTCTTTAGTGTCCCACTGATCCCATGGATCTTTAATTTCACTGGATAACACTGAGACCTACGAGATCTGACGACTTCATATTCCCCCAAAAGAAAGAACTGAGGAAGTTTCCTCGTCACGTTTTTAAAGCTGGCAGGGAAAAAAATTAAAAAAAAGTACCTACCCAGACTATTTATTCTCAAAACTACTTTTAGTAAAGATATGAGAGAAACAGGGCCTCAGAAATGGTGTTTATGAGTTTATATATTTGCTTTTTCGAACTCTATTTAGAGTTCTGTTTTCTCTCACGGCTACTAATTCAAATATCGCTGTTATAAACACACACCCCAAGAACTCCACATTTTTTCAATTAAAAATATTAGTTACTACCTGGGTTAAACACACATATAATCCCCACCACTCAAGCCCTCTCCCTGTCTATTGAAGTAACCACAGGGCATATTCCTCAGCTCTTTTCAGAACACCCTGCCCTCCCTCACCTTCATCTCTGCCTTTTAGTCTTTTATTTCACTTTATTTAACTCTTCTAAGTGTTTGACACACTGAATTTCTGACGAGACACTTCTGTTCCTTGCAAGTCTCATCCAGGGCCCAGCGAAATTAATTGGGAATTTTTCTGTTGGGTTTCAGCGAGCCTTGGGTCAGGTGCTACCAAGGAATTCCCGTAACACATTTATTTTACAGACAAAGGCATGGAAAGTCGCCTTCTGCAATAAATTCGGGCTGTTTGCCCTCGTGCCTATCCCGAGAAGGCCAAAAAAAAAAAAAAAAAACAAAAGAATCAGAAATGTCCATCTGAGAAAAAAAGAAAACAACAATAAAAAAAGCCCCTTATGCTCCTTGTGCAGAACAGTAGTAAACCGAGTTTTATGAGTTCTATCACGACCATATAAAACGCTTTACTGAAAAGACCACTGAGCTGGAAAAACTCAGGCAAAACTACCCTGAATTCCATGTGAACACTCATAAATCTGCCCCCCTTTTCTTTTTTTTTTTTTTTTTTTTAACTTTTTTTCCTAAAGCACATTTACCATAAAACTCGTGTTCCACATCAGGTTTCCTCTCCGTTTCATGGCAAGCCTCAATATCTTACACAATCTAAAACTCACAGGCTCGGGTTCTGAGCTTTATTTCAGAGCGATTGAGTTACCTCCCCGGGCAGGAGGGTTGGGTTTCAGGCCCTGCACAGATCTGCAATTTGCAATATCATATTATTTATTGCCCTTCTTGAAAGGTAATGAGGAGTTAAAATACAATGAACAAGAAAAGATATAAAGATACAAAATGTGGGTGGAAGTAAAGGGGATTTGAATATTTTGCTAAGGGCGCTTTCAGAGGGGAAAAAAAGTCAAATCTTGAAATACCCCTAAAAAATAAATTATTTTTATTATTATATAATGGCAAGATACCAGTGCTGGGTTCACAAGTTTTATTTAACAGGTGATTTAACACATCACTCATACCTGAGATAAGCCAAGATGCACAGATGCTGTTTCAGAGATGTACATGATTTTGCCATCTGATGCTACCACGAAAACAAAGCCATCCAGAGTCTGAAACAAAGAGAAAGATGGAGGGTAAAAGCCAAGCACTCTGGTTCAAGGGTTTCCAGTGAAAACAAAAGAAAATGGGGGGGAGATTTCCATCGACAGCAGCAAAATGAAAGGAGTAGAAACCTTTCCCTGATGCTGGTCCTTCAAACCCCTCAACGTGTGGGTGGTGAAACCCAACTCATCCCCCCACAGATGCAGCTTTAGTGCTGCACTTCCAGCGAGCATTCTCCTGTTGATTCAGGCAATTTCAGTGCTTAGCACAAATCCTGAGCTCTCTGTGGTGCTTAGGGGAAGTCTAACACTACGTGAGCCATTTTTTATGGCATAATTGGCAGGCACAGCCCACTCACTGCTCTTTGCACTGTTTTTCATGATGCTGTAAAGCAAAGCTGTAAGCCTGACTGTGTTTTCCATAATGTATTTCTGAACGGAGCAGTCTGCTCTCTAACTACTTGAATTTCCAAAAGGGAAGTAGAATAAATCGGCTTTCAAGACTTTATCACGCTGGAAGAGAGATAACTGTGCTGATCAAGTTATATTCTTACAGTCTGTGAAGCTTGACCAAAGGAATACTCAACGAATCCAATCCAATCCTACAAATTCTTATTGACAGGATATTGGCTGGAAGGTAAATGTTGCTTGTGTGAGGAAAAAGTGAAGTTCAACTTAGCCATGTATCATTCACTCAAGGAAAAGAAAAGTGATGCAAGCGGTGCAGCTCAGCCAAAATTACCATGATTTGGACACTTTAACTCTCAGTTTGGGGAGGCTTTGATTTCCCAGTGCCCAGTTTGAGACATTTTTTCAAGAGTATCTGATATCCTCAGTCAGACAGTCCCCATTATCTCTACCCAGTGTAGGGAGCTTTGGTCAGCACATAGGTAGGAACATCACAGGAAAATATATTTGGGAGAGAAAAATCATTTTTACACCACGCAGATGAAAGAACCACCTACTTCAATTCATTTGAAGTTACTGAACCAGAAGAGAAGCAATAAAACCCTGTATGCTCCATGCTCTTATAGTACCACCCCAATAAGAAAATATCCCAAATTATACCCTGGCCTACTAACGATCCTACAGCACGTAATTGAAACCAGGTTACTCTTTGCCTTTACTTTTTTCCCCCCTTTTTGAACATAAATTAAATTTTGTTGAAGCATTATAATGGGAAACAAATTATTGCACCCTCAGCCATAACTTTATATTAAACACTGTCATATTACAACTGCTCTACCCAGTGTCACAACTAAACAGGTGTCAGGGCTGCTGCTACTGCACCGTGTGGTGCAGCAGGTCCCAAAATCTCCTGTACAGAAAAGCACACTGAAGCTGAAACTCCACGTGGAAGGTTTCGTTTCTAGGAACGAAATAAAAAAGGTTGTGAAATGAAATAAAAAGGTTTACGGTAAACGTGGGTTTATTATTAAAATGTGAAGAATACGTCATCCAGCAATAACTGGACTGCGAAATGAGTATCACAGGTGAACAGTACTTAATTAATCAGAAGTTCAATTAATGCCAGACAAAATGTGGAATGGCCAGCTGGGAGGAGGAGCAAGTGTAGCAATGGTTTGTGTGACTAGGTATGTATTTAATTCTGTACATTTTATTATGCACATATAGTCCTATAAATAACTGTATATATATTTTCTAGCTGGACCAGTGATGCTGGAACAGCTGGGAGGGCGTCACCTACTTAGAACAAAATTTTCAAGGCTGGAAATGCCTCCCCAGGAGATCATTTTGAGCTCTGTCCCTGTATGAGGTCGGTACCTCACCCTCCAAACCAGCCTCCCCCAAAAACGCTCTCCCTCTTCCCTGCAGGAGAGATATTTTTGCAGAGTAGCAAACAAATAACCCTGCACGTCATTTCCAAGGTCGGGGGAGCCGGCACGGCATTCCCAACTCTCCCACCCTGCCACACAACTCGAGCCTGGGGACAAGGACAACGGGGGGTGGGCAAACCCTGCTGGCGGCACCGCTGGGTGGGGGGGGAAGCGGCCCCGGAGCCCGAACAGAGTTTTTTCTGTTGAGGTTTTTATCCCCCAGCCGAGCGAACAGTTAAAACAGCTCCAGCTCTGTGACCAGGAATTAACCTCCCACAATAAAACCGGCCGTTAAATGATTACTGTTTACTGGCTCTTTAAAATCGGGGCAGGAAAAAAAAAAAAAAAACAACACCCCACACTGCATTAAGTTCACATATATTAAAAAAAAAAAAAAAAAAAAAAAAATTTAAACGCAATTATTTTTTTTCCTCCCCCCTCCTGCTGGAACACTCGCCCCAGCTACGACTTCCTAAACTCTCCTGGAGTTCAGAGGAATTCCAGAGCAGATCAACGGGATTGTGAACAACGGTATTTTCAGGTGCTAACGTCCACGGGAGATCCAATCCAGGTGGTTCCCTCCCTCGGGAGCCCCGCGCTCCCTTACAGGTTTCCCCTCCCGGAATTCCCGGTGCCCGGCGCCTCTCCAGACAAACCCCCGTCGGCTCGGACCGGGATCTACCTGGGGACATTCCCAGCTGATTTGAGGTGCCTGATTGACGCTTTTAGGGCTGGGAGACACTTTGCGTTCACAGAGGCGTTGGTTCTGCTAACATGGAAAATAATAATAATAATAATAATAATAATAATAACAATAATAATAATAATAGTAAGTGGTCGGTGTCTCGGTTTTCCTCTCCTCCCAGCCCAGCGAAGCTCGGGAATAAGCTGAAGGTTTAACCCAGGCTCCTGTGGCAGTGCGGGGGTGAGGAATAAGTGGAGGAGGAGGAGGAGGAGCGGTGGGAGGCAGATCCCATCGCCACACCAGGTTCCCGGCGCGCAGCACGAACGGGAGGAGGGAGGGGTCCACTACCTGAAGCAAGTGGGATCCGAGCTCCATGGCCACGTTATCCAAGGGCCCTATCCTGCTCGGCTGTCCCCAGGCGTCGCCCAGACCTGCAAGGGAAGCAAGGAGCTGGTTAGAGCCGGGAGCGGAGCCAGGCCCGTCCCGCAGCCCCGTCGGGACTGAGCTGCCCCCAATCCGCCCGCTCCCCCCATTCCCCCGCGGGTCAGGCCGCGACGGAGGGGTTAAGAAGGTTGGGAAGGCTGGGTCCCTTCTGCACACACGCGTGGGAAGGGAATTGCTCTTTTTCTGGGCCAGGGCACCCCTTCGGAGGCGCTTTCTCCCTCCCCGGAGAGCCGTCGGCCCCCAGGGGCCATCGTCCTTCCAGCAGCACCGTGCCCGTCCCTCCTCCCCGTGGCGTTATCACCCGCGACCCCACGCTGGCCAAGGCGAGTCACGACCGGGGAAGGGGCTGAGGAGATCAAAGGGGTGGGAGAGAAACTGCCCCGACGGCCCCTTCGCCTGCGCACGGACGGGACCGACCCACTGGCTCAACTTCGCCCCCACGGCCCCGCCGAGCCCCGGCCCCGCTGACCCCACAGCCAGACCCGATTAGGGGGAGCCGGGCGCCCGGCGCTGCCTCGGTGACAGCGAAAAGTCATTGACGGAGCTGGTTTGGGAGCGCTTGGGGCGCGGAGAGGGGCTGAGATGGGGTTGGTTTGTTGGTTGGTTGGCCGGGTTTTTGTTTGTTTTTCATTCTCTCCTTGCAAACAAGGCTCGTACCGGCTCCCCGTGGGAGCTGAGACCACCGCCCAGTGAAATTAATGAGGTATTTTAGGAGGTTCGCGGAGTGCAGCTGAAGAGTTGGGCACTCACGTTGGCACCCGATGGCAGACGGATCGCTGCCCGCAAAGGCGCACAGACGGAGGGGAAGGGATGGACGCGACCGCATCCTTCCAGCGCCTCCTTTTTGGGGAGAAAGAGCAGCCCTGGGGCTGCAGCACGGCCGCTGCGAGGCCACGGAGCCCTCAGGGCGCTGCGGAAGAGGATGAGAGACAGGGATTCGGTGCTGCCAGCCCGGCGGGACCGTGAATTCCACGATGGCCCCGGGGGTCCCGCCTGGAGCGCCGACGCGAGCGATGGATGCTCAGCCCTGCGCCCCGCAGCCTTCAGGGTCGCTTCAAACCCACGCGTCACCGTGAAACCGAGCGCCGTGTTTTCCTCCGGCGCCCTCTCACCGCCCAGGGGCTTCCAAAGAAACCTCCCGTGGGACACTGGCGGAGGCCAAGGCGGCTGCTGCGGGACCCCCGCTCGGCTCCGGCACTGGAGGGGAGAATTTGGCACCCGGGCAGAAATCCCTGCATGATTCTGAACGCACCTCCTGAAGCCCTCATGGACTCGCGTGTGCTTTGGCCACTTAGACCTGGTCTAGAAACGATAGGAGGCTTTCTCTCCGCTCTGGGGGCGTCCCTTGGGACGGACAGGATCTCCCGCTGGAGGAACACGGGGAGGATGTGCCGCAAAGCGGTGCTTCCCCCCCGAGTTTTGCCGCCCCTCCCTGCCGGTGTCAGCCGAGCCTGGCCCCGCGTCCCTCTCCCTCCGGGCAGGCACAAAGGAGCCTCTGAAGCCACGCAGGGAACCCCGAGGGGACCTTGGCCGGCCCTGACACCTCCGTTCCGCCGTCTCTGTGGCTGCGTTTCCCTGTGGGCAGGGGAAGGACACCTTCCCTCCGCGCCGGGAAATTTGGAAGCGCCAAACGAAAACTCGCAGCTTTTCTACGCCGCTTCCCAACTCTCCTTCAGTGGAAGGCTCCTGAATTTCCAGAGACACGTCAAAACGTTCTTTGTGCCGAAAAGCTGCTTCCTCTGGGGAGGAAGGAAAGTTTGGGGATGGCAGAGACATCCTGCGGTTTCTTTCCCGAGACTGTAACAAATGCAAACGCCAGAGCCTGTCCCGGCGCCCTTATTTCGATTTACTAATTACCAATCACAAAACATGGGGTTGCAATACCGAAGAGGGGGTCGCACATGGCGGAGTAAACAGCTGCCCGGAGACGAGCTCTAACTTTCCGATGGACGAAGCAGATTTATTTCTTGAGCCACTCACGAAGCTCTTCAAGAACGAGCCGTGTTTCTGCCTCACACGTGCGTGGCAATTCGCTCCGTCCTGTCCGTCACGGCAGGACAGGTACCACTTCACATCAGACCACCACCCCAACCCCACCCCCCACAAATCTGCACTAGTATTGAAGTTCTTTCCTAGCCTGGAGTGAAAAAAATAAATTAAAAAAATAATTTAAAAAAATCACTTCGGCGGATTTGCTCCCTTTGCGATTTTAAATTGGAATTGCAATTGCGAACTCGCGTCAAAAGTAAACACGTTTGGTGGATCAGCCTGGCATTCGTCTAAGCTTATTTTAGAGCCGATGCTTTTATCATTTAATCCACCAGCAGATCGCTTTAAAGGTGGAAACGAAACGAATAAAACCTGACGTTCAAATAAAGGGCTGACGCCCATTAACTCGTCTTCCGAGAGATTTGCAAACGCGCCGCGTTACGTCCCGTAAACATATGGATGCAATAGACTCCTGCCCAGCCAGTAAATAACGCACATTTTCACTCACTGGCCTGGAGCGAGGTCAAAATTGCTGCCGGTACGCAGCGAACCTTTCCCACATCGCTCCATCGCGGGGGGACTTTGCTGGGCTGGCCCCGGCCGGGAGGGGACCCCCGTCGGGGCGGGCTGCCGGGGGTCAGACGCGGCTTTGCAACCGAATTTTTAAACCGAAATGTTTAAAAATGCCCCTTTGGAGCACGAATTCAGTGCTGCCCCGGCCCAGAAAGGGATTTCCCCGCAAGCGAGTGGCCCGAGCATCCTTCCTGCTAACGCTGGGAACACGCGTGAGGGTGGCTTGGCTCCCGGGTGCAACCCCTTTGCAGTGTTGGAGGGTAAGGGATCGCCTAAATCCAGAGGTGTGGGGCGATTCTGGGCGCTGCCGGTAGAGAAAAGCCCGCAAAGCCTAAGCCGGGCTCAGCGGCAGAGCCCGCCCCGTCCGGCGGGGCTGGCACGGCCAGGAGAGGGTGACTCGCCAGTCCCAGGCTCAACCTCGTCTCTCCTGGCACCCCGCGGTCGGCAAACATGGATGAGAGGAGCCTCTCTCCCTGTTTATCCTGCTTTTACTGGTGTCTGTACTGGTGTCTGTCCCCGCTGGGACCAGGGCCGTGCTGGGAGGGCAGGAAGGGCACAGTGGAATGCGGGGCAGGGGAAATAACCGGCCCTAAACGCGACTGTGCCCTTCAGCCCCCTCCAGGCGGCAGGTTCGGCTCCGACAACGCCGTCCCGGAGACAGAGAGGGGCTTTCGCCCCGACACCCCGAATTTCGTACTGCTTTTGCCTTTGAAAGGCGGGGGGTTCTCACACGAACGCGCCCCCCTCCCTTTAGCAAACCTGGGCATGATCCCCTCCACCCCTCCGTCTTTTGCCACCTCTGGCTGTTTCTCAAAATACCTCAACATTCGCTTTGTACCATTTCCCAGTTTCCAGGCAGGATGGAGTGCGAGTTTAACTGTAACAAGAGCTAGAAATATTCGGGAACAACTCCCACCTTTGCTCTCCGCGTACATAAATTCGTAGGCGCACACATTTGAAAGCCCGGTAGCTTTTCTGCTCGCGATTCTGCTAAAAGAATTACTTTCGCCATGTATTATGTAAAAGTATCGGGTTGCCCTGTAACTTGGAGTATTTCCTTTGTGTCTGCTGGGCTGTTCCCCGGCTCCCCCGGAGCGCACGGTCCCCCCTCGCGTTATTCAATCGCCACCCTTCGCAAGGATCTTTGGGTCAACTACAAGCTCCGGGGGTTCGCCGCCTCTCATGGATTTTGGGTTTGGGGTTTTTTTCCCCCAGCGCGGTTGTGCCTGGTTGGGCCGGGGAAGAAAAATCACCGTGAGGGTGGGGGCGGCCCCTACTTTATATCGAGCTTTGTCTCCCTGGTTTAGTCGAGTTCCGAGACACGGATGACACTTCGCTTTAAGCAGTGGGGGGCGAGGTATCTCGAGGTATCTCAGCCCCGATGGTGCTGAGGGTGGCACCGCTGGACCTGGGGTGGGTCTGGAGCAGACAGGGAGCTTCAGGTCCCGGCGGGAATAACCCCTGCTGGCACAGGGGAAGCTCCCAGGTCGGGGAGGCTTTGGGAAGGAGCAGGGCCGTTTTGGTCTAAGCTCGGCAGGGATGTGCCGGGCGCTCTGCGGGCATCAGCGTCACCGGCTGAAGAGGCGCCCGAGGGCTGGGTGGTGGGAACGGCGCTTATGACTTTCATTTATTTATTAAAAAAAAAAAAAAAAAAAAAAGGTCAAGTCCAAGGGGGAGAAAAAACTTAACCAAAAAAAAAAAAAAGAAAAGAAAAGAAAAGAAAACAAACACAACAAAACTGCTCTCCAGGACTCCCGGACAATCCCAAACCCGGCTCTTCCCACCGAGCCAAAACCACCAGATCGCCATAACAGGCTCAAAAGCGGGGGTACTACAGACAGCGACGTCCCGGGCGGACCCGCAGCTCCCACGGCAGTGACCCCCACACTCTGTCCTTCCCTCCCTCCTGTCCTCCCTCCTTCCCTCCCCGCCGGGAGGGAGAGGCCGGAGCGACCCCGCCGCCCGTCCCCGCAGGGCCGCCGGCTCTCTCCGCCCGGGAACGGCCTCGCAGCTCCGGGGAAAGCCCTAAAAAAAGTACTTTTGTTTTAGTAAGACCTTTAATGTCACTGTTAGCGGTTAGTACAATAGACGCTCGCTTTCGGAAAGGGATGACTCACTCCTCGGGCTTTATTTATTTATTTATTTATTTAGCGAACCTCTTCCTAGTGGGTATGAAAATCAGATGAAACAGCTGCGATTCGCCTTGATATTCTTAAAATATACATTCATGGTTTAAATGAGAACAGAAGACTCTGTATGTTCCTAAAAATTTTTATTGTCTGCATGTCGGAACAAGGAAGGTCTAAGATCTACAGCTCGGTCGTTTTATTCAGATTATTTTGTATGGTGCAAATTATCTTTTGGGTCACATATTAATTAGCTCTCTCTCGCCCCGGTTTAAACAACCACAAATGTCCAATTTTATAAGCAGTTTTGGATAGCGTCGGGCACGGGGGAGGGAGAGGGTGACGATTTAACTAGTCTGCCATAACCGGAGGGCAGAGAATCGCGGATTTAAAACACGATTTATTCTCGCCTCTCTTTCTTTCATTAACTCATTTTCAGGGGGAAAAAAAAAAAAAAAGAAAAGAAAAGAAATGAAAAATGCTGACAGTCAAGACAGAAGAAGTTCCGTGGTGTATTTTTGTTCTACAGGAACAAATGCTTTGGGGAAAAAAAAAAAAAAAGTGAAAAAAAAAAAAACCCCGAGAGAAGACGGTGTGGCAGAGCGGGAGCGCGGGGGAGGCTGTAGGTTGTGTCCCCTGACTTTAACTCCTCAATCTCAAGGTCGGAGCGATACCGCAGGGCGCAAACTGCGATATCAGAGCACGAAATTGTGCCTTGCGAGTCTCGCACTCTGAGGGGCGAAAGGGGCTGGGGTTGAAACCCCCTTTCTCTGTCACTCCTGGGAGTCTGATCGGGCGCCTCTGCGGCAGGATCTGAGAGTTCGGTCCGTAATGTGCATCTTCGGGAAAAGCCTGGCCGGGCTGAGCGGGAGACCTGTCTGAAGCATTTTACAAGCCCTGCCGAAGCGCTGGGATCAGTCACCTCGTTGAGGGGCTCAAACTTTTCCTAAATTATGTTTCGACTCGCTCTGGAAATAAGGGGGGAGAAGCCATCCAGCGAGGTTTTTAAAAGCACAGCGCTCTTTCTCTCTCTTTCCCTCCAGTCTAGACAGAGCTGGAAACCAGGTTTGGAGCCGGACAACGTTTCTGATCGCTCTGGTCTCAGCTAATCCGGGCCTAGCACACGAACTGGTGGCCTCTCAGGCCTGTTCCTCCCACCCTGACACCCCCTTAAGCCTTACGGGATTGATGCCACTGTGAGGCCCGGGGTGCCCCCACTCTTCGGGGGCAATTCCTGTGGGATCGAGGGCATCGCGGCTCCACTGCCCCGGGAGCAGAGGCCCCGAGGGAGCCTGTTACGTGCCCACCTTTATTCCAAGCCCCAAAACCTCAGTGTCCCCCACCCATCCATCGGGTCTAGTGCTCTCAAAGGGGCTCTTTCCCCAGGTCTCGATGCCCCAGGATTTAAGATGTTGTACTGAGAGGCCTTCCTGGGCTGTCGGGCTCCCCGCGCCCCCTCCCAGTAAAGCCAACTGCAAACCAGTAACCAAATATGAGGAGGGAAGGGACGACGGATGGACGGACGGATGGGGACCCCTCTCCCCTCCTTCCACAGGCAAATCCCGAGGGAGAGGGAAGTTGGGGTGACACGGGACTGTGCCATCGAGCAGCGCCCCCCCAAAAAACGCCCTATTCCAGCCCTTGGGGTGCGGGCACAGCCGCCTCTTCCCGCCTCCCCCCTCTCCCCTTCTCCCTCCCAGGCACTAAACACTCGTCTCGGGGACCGAAGGCGCTTATTCCCCCGGCCTGTCATCCCTGGATGCAAAGCTTTGGTTTTAAATGTATTTCCACCCGTACTTAAGACGATGAAAGATCAGGAATTCGCTGTATGCATTTAAACGTTGCCCTTAATAAGCAGAGTGTGCAGAAGCGCACGCCCGGCCTGTTTAAGGAAGACAGACACATAAAACACACCCGAGCTGTGGGTATAAACCTGCTCTCGGGGTCGCCTCGTTGCTCTTGAGGATCGGTAGGGCTGGAAAAGCCGGGACACGTCCAGCAGCATCTCGAAACGTGCCACTTTTCCTCCTTCCTAAATCAAAGGCATTCGGGGGCACGTTCGCCGGGGCAGGGCCGGCGAGCGACCCCCCGAAATTACGACGCTCTATTTCTCATCGGGAAGTTTCCCCGGTGGGGGATAATGGCTGGAAAATGCAGCGGAGCAGCGCCTCGCTTCCCTCCGCTCCGCTAACTCGGCGTGCCTCGGGAGCGCACGCTGAAGGAGCCCTGGCTTTCCCTAGCGCGGCTAGTCCTTGCTCCCGAAATTTCTGAATTAGATGGCCATAACGGTAAGCTTTGCTCGGGTGGTTGGGAGGGGGGTTTTATTCTACCCCTCACTCCCCCCCCCCTCTTTTTTTTTTTTTTTTTCCCCAACCTTTTAATAAAACTCCTTCCAAACCGCGACGGAGAGCAGACCTTCCACTCCGGAATTCGCTAATTCCTTCACCCTCCTCCTAGTCCGGAGAGGCACAAACAAATGACAAAGCGCGGGGGGAGCCGGGCTTTATTTAGCCACCCGCAGCCACTTAACCAGCGTTTCATTTCACGTCTCCCATCAGCTCGGCGGCGGCACGGACAGCACGGGAGGCCCACGGTTCCCCACGACCCGCTGCCTCCCCTCGCCCCAAAGGCGGCCCCAAAGGCGCTCGGGGGGGACGGTGCGAGGCTGGTTTTCACCAAACCCCCGGGGAAGGAGAGAGCGGTGCCAGGTCTCGCTGCTGCGTGTCTCCGAGAAGAGCCACCGGAGCCACGGCCGGGGAGCAGCGGGGGTCGCGGCCCCGCTCGGGGCCAGGCTGGGCTCGCACCCTCCTTCCCTTCTCTCCCCGGCCCCGGGAGAAGGCGGAGGGCCTCTCGCTGAGAAGCCGCCGCGCCTTATTTCCCAGCCTGCTTCCCTACCTCCAGAAAACTCCAACCAAAACAAAATAATAATAACAACCACACTAGGTTGTTGGTTTTTTTTTTCCCGAGGCCGTGCCTGGACGCCGAGCCGAGGGGCCATCCCCGGGGGCCGCCCGGGCTCCTCCCGGGGCTGCAGGCGCCGGTGGAGCCGAGCCGAGCCCGCTCCCCTCGGGACGGTCCCCCCGAGCAAACGGAGCTGAACCGGCAGCAAAAGCGGAGGGGGAGAAGGGGGGGATTAACCGGGCTGGTCTGGCCCCCGCCACAGCCGGTTTTTGGGCAGTGCAGCTCTGCCTCCTCTCCCCAGGCAGGCGGGCTTCTTTCCACCCAGGGCGCCTTTTCCCTCGATCACTCCTCGCTTGCCACCCGGTTTTGGGATCCTTGCAGGCATCTCCCCCTCCTCCCGGGACGCTGAGGCGATGCGGGCTCGTCTCGGGGTGTGTGCCCACCCCACCACCCCCTCCCCGCTCTTTTTCTATCCGCAGTGTCCCCCCGTCCCTCCCGTGAGAGCCCCGGCGGGGTTTTACCTTCGGGGAAGACGGCTCGCATTTTCAGGTAGCTGGTGGTGAGGCGGATGATGGACGCCTTGTCCAGCTGGGAGGTGATGGCCGAGGGCAAGGGCAGGAGTTTGGCCAGTTCGTAGAATTCTCCATTTTCTTTTTCCCGTCTAGTCTTTGCCGCGTTCTTGGATTTTTCCTTCATCGCGACTACTGCAAGGCGAGGATGTCACTGGCATATTAGACCCGATTCCTCCGAGTTGCAGGGGGCATGGATTTCGGCGTCAGAGTTAGTGTTTTCGTTCGAGGAAGGGAGAGAGCTCACCCGAATCAAATCAAACAACAACAATAATAATAATAATAACAATAATAATAATAAAGGGAGAGAGGGAATAAAAAGACAAGCAGGAGAGGGGGAAAAAAAAAAAGCCAAACCAACCGAACAAAAACAACACCAACAGAAATGGTGCGAGGAGGGGGGAGGCGATCTCTGAGCCACAACCGGGATAGGAAAGCCTCTCGGAGAAGGCAGTTCTGCTCTGGCCCTGCAACAGCGAGAGCTTCGAAACCCAGGCTGAAAGACCCACGCGAACCTCCGTCCTCTGCCTGCAGCTGGGAATCGGATCTTCTCCTCAACGGGGAGAAAATCACTGGGTTCCCTTCACTGAAGGATTTCTTCTGCTCAATCCTTCCCCGTCCAAAAGTAATAATAATAAAAATATATATTTTAAAAGTAGAGTGTCCATGCAAGAAATCACTGAGCTAAGCAGGCTGAACCATTTTTGGACATTTTGCCTCTTAAAAAAAAAAAAAAAAAAAGAAAGAAAAAAAAAAGGAAACGGAACGATCGCGCTGCTCGTTGAACGAAGTGCAAAATGATCTGGTCCCGGAGCCCGAGATGCCGCGGAGACGACGAGCCCCTCGCTAAGCGAAAGTCAAAGGCGGTGCGGAGGGAGCTGATGGCTGGAGCGCTCCGAAATCACGAGCTCGCATTTCCCTCGGACGCTTCCCTCTCGGCGGGCTGGTCCTGCGGCCGAAGGGCTCTTCCCCCTGCCCCGAGGGGCTCCTGCAGCGCCGGGGTGCGGGGGGCTCCGAGCCCCGCGGGTGGCGGGGCTGCGGGCACGGGGGGCTGCGGGGCTGCTCCTGCCGCTCCGGCCGCTGCGCCCAGCTCCAAATGTGGTTCTCATGCGGAGTCAAATTAAAGGATCCGTTTTCCTCGGGATCAGTGCCACTTCAGCGTTGTCTCTTTCCAAACAAGTCCGAGCGCTGGCAAAGGCGCGGGATAGATTTTGTTGGTTTTATTTATTGTTGTTGGTTTTGGTTTTTTTTTTCCCTCTTTTTCCTCCTTTTAAAGAAAAAGAATTTGCAAGATCAGGAATCGCTTCTTTTTTTCTTTTTCTTTTTTTATTTCTTTTTATTTATTTATTTGTCACGCATTTAAAGAGCAAAGTGGTGGCTCTTTGGCATAGACATGCCTTTCAAAGGCAAGGGGAGGGTTTGCTACATTCACCTTCCGCAAGGAGCAGCGATCCTCACCATACGGCAAGGATCGAAGGTAAAATTCCCCTCCTCTCGGAAATCATAGCCGCCACGCTCCTCGCCTGAAACCACCGATATCTCCGCTTTTTATTTTTTTTTCCTTTCTCTTTTCTTTCCTTCTTTTTTTTTTTTTTTTTAATTTATTTTTTTTTCCCAGGGGCAGAAGGAGCTCTGAAGTGGACCTCTCGGTTAATTCTTTAGCAAAGGCTGCGGAAAGCCAGGAGAGCCTCAAGAGGGGAGGGGATAATGTATCCGTGACGTGTCCTCCCGAGCAGCGCCCTCCGAGGGACCCAAATACAGAGGAGCCAGAAAAGAGCCGCAATTAGCACTTGCGATGGGACGGGAGGCCGGGCCGGGGGGAGCCGGGGACGGAGGCCCTTTGCTGTGGCAGCCCGAAACCCGCTCCCCCCGACCTCCCTGAGCGGCCGGCGGAGCGCCGGGACCCTCTTGCCCCGTCCCCTGCCCTCTCTCGGTGCACCGACCGTGACCCCGCGGCGCCGAGGGGGCCCCTCGTAGTGTCCCCAGGTGGGGGGAGGCGCGACACGCGTGGGACCCCCCTCCCCAGACCCACGGCAGCGCCGTGAAGTCACCCCGAGCCCTTCCCCTCGTTCTTTTGGCTCTGGTTAAAACGTACCTGCACACCCGCAGGTACGCGTGGCTCGTCTATTCACACACACGTGTATCCCGCGCTCACTTGTACTGTATATGCACATTTTGCACATACATTATACGTGTGCAAATGTATGGAGATATATATATATATATATAAACCATATATAAATATATGCACAGGAGTACATGCACACACACACACATGTATATTTGCACACACACGTATATATTTACACACACACATATATATATTTACACGTGGCCCCTCGGACATGCGGTGGAAGGGGGGCCGAGCTCCGGGGGAGGCGGCGGGAGCAGCCGAGGGGCCGCCCCGCGCCCTCCCCGCCGACAGCCGCTGCTCCTCAGCCCCCGACGTGACTCTGCGCTGCCCGGCGGGCCGACGGTGACCGGGGCTTAACCCCGGAGCTGCCGAAACAGCTCTCGGGGGGACAGTGAAGCAACTCCCGGAGCGCCCGGGCTTGGTCGGGGCCCGCCGAGCCCCCTCCGTCCTGGCGGCCCCGCAGAGCTGGCGGGGCTGTAACCGCAGGGCTCCGGGCCACCTTGGCAGGGGTTGTCACACAGCGATGCCCGGTGTCCCCTCCCAGCCAGAGTCACGTCCTGAGTGACGGAATTAACCCCAGCCTGGGCACGACTGAGCCGGGCTTTGACACTGAACCCTTCTCGCTCCGGGGCACCTCGGCCCGCATTTGTGTGTCCCTATCCCACTCCACGGGGCACGCACACCCCCATCCCAGGGGGAGCAGACCCTGCCCGCCCGCCCTCGCAACACCCCCGGACACGCGTGGCTCCCGCACCCGACGTGCGGGGGGCGCAGGGATGCGGCCGGGGATTAAAGCGGGGAGGAGAGGAGGGAAGGAGGGACCAGCAGAGCGCCGGGCGAGACGCGGCTCCACAACCTCGGGCGCAGGGAGGGCGCCGAGGGGGATGGGATCGCCCGTTTGCAAAACACAATGCACCGGTCCTTAATATTAATCCCCGGGAGAGGCCCGGCCGGCGGGCGAGTGTGTTTGCTTAAGCTCGCCCGCCCCTCTGTAATTATCCTATTACACCAGAAAGAGCCCGGCCCGGCGGTGCCGAGGGAAAGGCCGTGCTCTTTAACCTCCCCGCCGCCGGCACCGCTGCCCTGGCTCTCCCCGTCTGGGCCACCGCTCCCCGGGGGATGGCGAGTAGGGAGACCGGGGCACCTTCTGCCTTCCCTGCTTGAAATGCGGGGCAAGGAGCGGGTGAGCCTCTCACCGACGGGGCCGGCCCGTCCGGCCTCTTGTCCCGTCCCAAACCCGTCCCCTCCTGGCTCAGGTACCGGGTCCCGTCCCTCGGCTGACGCGGGGTTTGTAGGGAGGACCGCGGGCATGGGGAACGGGCGCCCTGCCCCGCCGTCCTGGCTGCGATTTAGGCTCGGGCTGGTTCCAGGTCAAGGAAATCTGAGCGAAACCCTTGGCACCGGCGAGCACCGGGCGATGGGACCCGTTTTACCCTCCTGCACTGCCCTTTTTACCCGCAAAGTAGGAGCAGTCCCCTGCCCCTCTCTCAGGGGTAACCTCTCTCCTGGGCACGTTTGGAGCAGGTTTGGCGACGGCAAATGTAGCCGGCGATTAAACCCGCCGCCCTATTTTTCTTTTTTACGGAATCGTGTTCCGGCTGGGACTTTTCGCAGAGCAAAACAAACCTAAATTAATCTAGGAAAAAAAAAAATCCAAACCAAAACCAAACCACAAAAACAAAACCAAAACACCCGTTGAAAAAGAAACTTCAGCCTCACGGGGAAATTCTCAAAATTCAATGCAACCTCCGCCCGCCGCCGAAACTGGACGCGTTAGTAGAGGTAAAAAATAAAATATACGGGGGAAAAATATTATATATATATTACATATATATATATGTGTGTGCGTGGAAATTTAGCTGTATATCAAGGCGGGTCCTAAGGGGTCCGATACAACGAGCTCTGCGATCGCTAACCCCGAGAAGGAAACTAGATGGGATATTTGTGAGTCCTATAAACAAAATATAGGAACGAGCGACTGGGTGGTAAAGGAAAGCGTGAGGGGAGCATGTTCCGTTTCTAACAAATTACGGTGGTTTCGAGAAAGGGCAGGTTGGCCAATGTTTTCAACATAATTCCGACAGGAAAAAAAAAAAAAAAAGAAAAAGAAAAATCACGTTGCTGCAAGGGTGGCCCGAACCTATCGAGGTGGATTCGCGGTGTGGAACTCGGTGAGTCCGAAGTGGCTGCAGGGATTTTCGGGCAAGGGCTTGCCCCGGACCGTTTTAATAAAAAAACTCCACGCCAGGGACGAAAATAAATAAGGAGAATAAATAAAACAGTAAGTTATTGAAAGATTCGGACCATGTTTTCACTGATACATTACTGCTGAATGATAAATCGGACGCGAGCAAACCCTGCTGTTATTTAACAACATTTCCCCTTGGGTTGGAGGGGAAACCTTCACCGGGTGGGAGATAAAGGGAAAGCGTTTCTTTCCCAGGTGAGCTGCGTTGCGGGGGAATATTTCTCCTTTCTTTCCCTTCCCAGAGCGGGAAATAGAGAGGAAAACGAGGCCTGAAGATAACTCCCCAGCACCCCTAAAACAAACTCCCTGAGCAGCTCCCTCGCACCGCCCGGCACCCCACGCTGGGCACAAGCCCGAGGGGCTTATTTTGCGCTGGTGCGCGGAGGGGAATTCCCGAAGGAAAGGCTCAGGGAGAGGGGGTTCGACGCCTTTTTTTTTGGGGGGGGGCAATCCTGCCAACAGCGCTTTGCAGAACGGGGGGCACACGCGGGACTCCCGTCCCGGGGGCAGCGGGGTGGGCAGCCCCTCCAGCGCTCCCCTCCCGCTCCCTGCCCTGCCGGGAACCGCGAGGAATTCCAGGAGCGCTCCCGACGAGGTTTGCGGGACTCGGCGTGTTTGGGTGGGGAGGAAGGGCCCGGGCAGGGGCAGGGGCAGGGGCAGGGGCAGGACGGGTCCGCTCGTGTCCGTGAAAGTAGTGGCGGTGCCACACTTCCAGCCCGTGGCACAAGCACCTTTGCAGGGCCGT